TGTTAGGATAGCTAAGCAGCGCACAGGTGATAGGTGCAGAGCTCTAGAGCTGCCCCCTTCCCAGGAAAGGCTGGGCTGGGTGTGAATTCGGGTGTTGGGCTGGCACTAGGCTGAGCCCGAACTGCCCGGGGAGCCCAGGAGCCTCCACACCTTGGTGCTGAGAGGCAGCAGCAGGGCCGGGGCGATGCAGCTCCCCCAGCTGCTGCCTGGCTTTGGGGAGAGCTGGGGAAGGTCAAGTAGGGCTTTTCTTAAGCGAGGGGGAAGAGGTGGCACAAGAGGTGTAACTAGTGCAAAGCTACAGCCGTGACCAAGACTTTCCCCTCTGCAGAGACTCAGGTGTTTTCCCTGCTTGCAGAAATGTTTTTAATGGTGCCTTATGTGTAGCAATCTGTGTGACCTGAATGATAGGCATAGACTGTAGAGAATCAGTTGCAAAGCTGGACCGATAAAGGAAAGCGGGACATGAACAAGGTAATTTGTTTATGGTCATGGAAGTTCAAACCCTTAATGCAGTGGCTTTATGATATGGAACTCAGGGTGATTCAACACTTACAGTGTTTTTATATATGAAATGTGTTTTTTTTCACTTTAAAATGAAAGCTACCGATAAGAAAAAGCAACTTAGAATGTCAGTATTTGAATACAAAAACAAAGGGTGAAATAATGATTTTTGTTTTAATCGGTAGCAGAATTCCCACTGATCTTTGTTAGGACAAGATTTACTAGGGAGCTTATTTCCAATTTCACAGCTAACGGACACGGCAGAAAAATAACAGAGGCTCAAGTCAAAAGCCAATTTCTAAGCGTACTTTGCTTATCCTACTTGAGTATATACAAAAATCATTTCTTACAAAATTGTACAGCTAGTCAATAATACCATCATGAAAAATGGTTCAATAGCACTAATATCCATCAAACAACTGATAAATGTACAGAAGTATTATTTTCTCAAGAGGAATAATGTCTTTTTATGAGAGCTCCAGATAAATGACTTCCCTCTTAAAATATGCTGCCTTTGACTTGGCATTCATTTTTGATGGATGCCTGGACTTCACCCTGGTATTTATTTAGCAGCAGGAGACTGTTATCCCAAGAAAACATTCTATCCCTTTGACATTATCTTTTAATTAAAGTTCCTTTTTGTTCTGGCCCTTTGTGCCCATGTCTCAGTATTAGCTCTGTATATCTACCTTTCATTCCTTGTTACTGACTGCTTAATGCTTGGTGGTTAATTAGCATTTGAGTGTTGCTTGGTTAATTAGTTACAAATAGAATGTGTTAGTCCATTTTCATATAAATTAACTTTTAAAGTTGAATTAAAAGTAAATTTGCAGATGGTTTCCTTATTTGTTGGATGCTGTAAGTCGTTTTTTTCTGTGAACACTGTTGTTAATCATTCTGATCCACACTTTGACACTTAAACCTCTCAAAATGGGTAGTTTACTTGCTGTTGTTTTTCTTCCAAAAAAAATCAATTGAAAATGTCCTCTCATTCATTCTGCTTAGGTGGGATGTTCATTGCTTTCATTTTCTTCCTCTTGTGCCAGAGAAAGCTGTTTTTTTTTTTTTTTTTTTTTTTCTAACTTGTAAATGGGACTGAAATAATGCTGGTTCCTTGCAGGCTGATAGCACCTTCTTCTGCATCAGTTGTAAAGGGGTGCTCGTGGAGGCCCCCCACGGAAGTGCAGTACATATTCAAATGAGCTGTTCACTTTTGCTGTGGTCTGATTCTTTTTGGCTTAAACATAAAGAGAAATTTAGTCAAGACATACCTATTTCAAGGTGGTACGCACTATTCGAAATATTATAAATTATGAAACAGTTTCAGTAACTTCTCTGCGTTCTACAAATATTTCTCATGTGGGTGTTTTGTGGTGGTTATCCTTAATGCTTCAGTAATTTCTAGGAGTTCCTAGGTAGGCACTTGGAAAAGCCTAAGAGATAGCTGTAATGGACAGGCCTCACCTCAGGGAGCTTACAGGCCAATTGAGAGAGGGGAAAAAAAACAAAAAAAGAGTAGCAATTGGTTTCATGATGGCAGTGAGCCTTACTGCTGTCAATTACACTGCCAACAGGTTTTAAAGGAATCATATGGGGCCTAGTGTTGTTGCTCAGTCTAGTCTTTATGTAGGAAGGTAACAACTTATGTATTAGGCCCAAAATATGCTGGAAAATGACCCATTGTTGACCTGCACACCCTTTGTGCTCCAGGATTTCTTTGGCTGCAGAATTTTTAAGGGAAGTGGGTCAGGAAAACTTAAGACTACTGGGAAAAAAAAAAAAAAAAAAGAAAAAAAAGAAAAAAAAAGCTGAGCTAATAATGACATTTTTGGGGGGCCAGATTTACCCCAGAA